AGTGGGGGGCCCTGCCCCGAACCCCACAACCTGGGGGCAAATGGGGGACTTCGCCCCGAACCCGTGTCCCGAGCCCCAGAGCCCAGCGGTGAATGGAAAACCCCACCACAAACCCCCTCCCCAAATCCCCGCCCTGAACCCCACAGCCCGGCGGCGAATGGGGGATCCTGTCCCATAACCCCTCCCCAAACCTCTGTCCTGAGCCCTCCCGTAGCCCAGTAGTGAGAGCCTGGACCCCTCCCCCACAAGGCCAACCTCACCGACCACCTCACACGAGCCCCCCCGCCCCCCCGATCCCCCAGTTCTCCCCCCCAAGCTGACTCCCCTCCCCCCCCAGCCCTGGAGGTGCTGTTTGCCGAGGAGCTGGGCCTGGTGCTGGAGGTGCCCAGCGCTGTGGCAGGAGACGTCTGCAGACGGTACGAGGAGGCTGGAGTGCGATGCCTGCCCATCGGGCACACGGGACCCCTGGGCCCCCAGTCCATGGTGAGTGGGGCTGCGGGTCGGGAGTGAGGGGCACCCGGCAGAGCTGGGGGGGCCCAGGGCTGGGCTAGCAGGGGCTGCGGGTCGGGAGTGAGGGGCACCCGGCAGAGCTGGGGGGAGCCCAGGGCTGGGCTAGCAGGGGCTGCGGGTCGGGAGTGAGGGGCACCCGGCAGAGCTGGGCTAGCAGGGGCTGTGGGTCGGGAGCGAGGGGCACCCGGCAGAGCTGGGGGGGAGCCCAGGGCTGGGCTAGCAGGGGCTGTGGGTCGGGAGCGAGGGGCACCCGGCAGAGCTGGGGGGGAGCCCAGGGCTGGGCTTGCAGGGGCTGCGGGTCGGGAGTGAGGGGCACCCGGCAGAGCTGGGGGGGAGCCCAGGGCTGGGCTTGCAGGGGCTGCGGGTCGGGAGTGAGGGGCACCCGGCAGAGCTGGGCTAGCAGGGGCTGTGGGTCGGGAGCGAGGGGCACCCGGCAGAGCTGGGGGGGAGCCCAGGGCTGGGCTAGCAGGGGCTGCGGGTCGGGAGTGAGGGGCACCCGGCAGAGCTGGGGGGAGCCCAGGGCTGGGCTAGCAGGGGCTGCGGGTCGGGAGTGAGGGGCACCCGGCAGAGCTGGGGGGGAGCCCAGGGCTGGGCTAGCAGGGGCTGCGGGTCGGGAGTGAGGGGCACCCGGCAGAGCTGGGCTAGCAGGGGCTGTGGGTCGGGAGCGAGGGGCACCCGGCAGAGCTGGGGGGGAGCCCAGGGCTGGGCTAGCAGGGGCTGTGGGTCGGGAGCGAGGGGCACCCGGCAGAGCTGGGGGGGAGCCCAGGGCTGGGCTAGCAGGGGCTGCGGGTCGGGAGTGAGGGGCACCCGGCAGAGCTGGGGGGGAGCCCAGGGCTGGGCTAGCAGGGGCTGCGGGTCGGGAGTGAGGGGCACCCGGCAGGAGCTGGGCTAGCAGGGGCTGTGGGTCGGGAGCGAGGGGCACCCGGCAGAGCTGGGGGGGAGCCCAGGGCTGGGCTAGCAGGGGCTGTGGGTCGGGAGTGCGGGGCACCAGTGCTGCAGTCCCCCGGCCCACCCCCTGCGTGCCCCCTAGGTGCGGCTGCGGGTGAACGGGCAGGAGGAGCTGGTGTGGCCCGTGGGGGACCTGCGCGCCCTCTGGGAGGCCACGAGTATCCAGCTGGAGCGGCTGCAAGCGTCACCCCACTGCGTGGAGCAGGAGGAGAGGGGGCTGGCACAGCGCCAGGGCCCCAGCTTCACCCTGACCTTCGACCCCAAGATTGCGCCCCCGCTGCTGTGCCAGATGGGTGAGGGCCGGGGCCCCGGGGGGGAGGGGCTCACTGGGGGGAGGAGGGGTGTGTGGGAGGGGTGTCCCCAGATCGCTGTGGAGAAAGGAGCTCTCTGGGAGGGAGGGGTGTGTGGGCGGGGGTGTCCCCAGGTCCCCGTGGCGGGAGGGGGGGTCTCTGCCAGTGGGGGTGCACTGAGCCCAGCAGGCCCTGGTCTCTAACCCCACCTTTGCCCCCAGCCCAGCCGGGCCCGCGCGTGGCCATCCTGCGCGAGGAGGGCAGCAACGGGGACCGCGAGATGGTGGCAGCCTTCATCATGGCGGGGTTCCAGGTGAGACCTCCCCACCCCCACTCCGAACCCTGGCGTCCTGCCCCGCCCCCGACTCTAACCCCTCGGCCCCCACCCCCCTCTCTCCCCAGGCCTGGGACGTGACCATGCAGGACCTGTACGTAGGGGAGGTGACTCTGGAGTCGTTCCGGGGCCTGGTCTTCGTGGGGGGCTTCAGCTACGCGGACGTCCTAGGGTCTGCCAAAGGTGAGACCCCTGCCCGGGAGCCAGCCAGTGCCCCCCTCACCTCCCGACCCAGCCAGTGCCCCCCTCACCTCCCGACCCAGCGTGTCCACTCCCCTCGCCCCCCGCCCAGCCAGCGTGTCTCTACCACACCCCCGCCCAGCCAGCGTGTCCACTCCCCCCGCCCAGCCAGCGTGTCCACTCCCCTCGCCCCCCGCCCAGCCAGCGTGTCTCTACCACACCCCCGCCCAGCCAGCGTGTCCACTCCCCTCGCCTCCCGCCCAGCCAGCGTGTCTCCACCACACCCCCGCCCAGCCAGCGTGTCTCTACCACACCCCCGCCCAGCCAGCGTGTCCACTCCCCCTCGCCCCCCCGCCCAGCCAGCGTGTCTCTACCACACCCCCGCCCAGCCAGCGTGTCCACTCCCTCGCCTCCCGCCCAGCCAGCGTGTCCACTCTCCCCGCCCCCCGCCCAGCCAGCGTGTCTCTACCACACCCCCCGCCCAGCCAGCGTGTCTCTACCACACCCCCCCGCCCAGCCAGCGTGTCCACTCCCCTCGCCCCCCGCCCAGCCAGCGTGTCTCTACCACACCCCCGCCCAGCCAGCGTGTCCACTCTCCCTCGCCCCCCGCCCAGCCAGCGTGTCTCTACCACACCCCCGCCCAGCCAGCGTGTCCACTCCCCTCGCCTCCCGCCCAGCCAGCGTGTCTCTACCACACCCCCGCCCAGCCAGCGTGTCCACTCTCCTCGCCCCCCGCCCAGCCAGCGTGTCTCTACCACACCCCCGCCCAGCCAGCGTGTCCACTCCCCCCGCCTCCCGCCCAGCCAGCGTGTCTCCACCACACCCCCGCCCAGCCAGCGTGTCCACTCCCCTCGCCTCCCGCCCAGCCAGCGTGTCTCCACCACACCCCCGCCCAGCCAGCGTGTCCATTCCCCTCACCCCCCGCCCAGCCAGCGTGTCCACTCTCCCCGCCCCCCGCCCAGCCAGCGTGTCTCTACCACACCCCCGCCCAGCCAGCGTGTCCACTCTCCCCGCCCCCCGCCCAGCCAGCGTGTCTCTACCACACCCCCGCCCAGCCAGCGTGTCCACTCCCCCCGCCCAGCCAGCGTGTCTCTACCACACCCCCGCCCAGCCAGCGTGTCCACTCTCCTCGCCCCCCGCCCAGCCAGCGTGTCTCCACCACACCCCCGCCCAGCCAGCGTGTCTCTACCACACCCCCGCCCAGCCAGCGTGTCCACTCTCCCCGCCCCCCGCCCAGCCAGCGTGTCTCTACCACACCCCCGCCCAGCCAGCGTGTCCACTCTCCCTCGCCCCCCGCCCAGCCAGCGTGTCTCTACCACACCCCCGCCCAGCCAGCGTGTCCATTCCCCTCACCCCCCGCCCAGCCAGCGTGTCCACTCCCCCCGCCCAGCCAGCGTGTCTCTACCACACCCCCGCCCAGCCAGCGTGTCCACTCTCCCCGCCCCCCGCCCAGCCAGCGTGTCTCTACCACACCCCTGCCCAGCCAGCGTGTCCACTCCCCTCGCCCCCCGCCCAGCCAGCGTGTCTCTACCACACCCCCGCCCAGCCAGCGTGTCCACTCCCCTCGCCTCCCGCCCAGCCAGCGTGTCTCCACCACACCCCCGCCCAGCCAGCGTGTCTCTACCACACCCCCGCCCAGCCAGCGTGTCCACTCTCCCCGCCCCCCGCCCAGCCAGCGTGTCTCTACCACACCCCCGCCCAGCCAGCGTGTCCACTCCCCTCGCCTCCCGCCCAGCCAGCGTGTCTCTACCACACCCCCGCCCAGCCAGCGTGTCCATTCCCCTCACCCCCCGCCCAGCCAGCGTGTCCACTCCCCCCGCCCAGCCAGCGTGTCTCCACCACATCCCCCTCCGAGCCAGCGTGTCCACTCCCCTCGCCCCCCGCCCAGCCAGCGTGTCCCCACCCTGGGGCTAGCTGGAAGCCGGCACCCCCTAGAAGGGACAGGCTCCGAGCCCCGTTCCCCACCCCTCTGAGCCAGCCAGTCCCCGTCGGGGGCCAGGTTGGAGCCAGTGGCCCCTAGAAGGGAAAGGCCCCGCGTCCCATTCCCCCCAGGTGATTGACCCCCAGTGTGCCTTTTTGTCCCCAGGCTGGGCAGCTTCGGGGACCTTCAACCCCCGGGCGCGAGCCCAGTTTGAGGCCTTTCACCGGCGCAGGGACACGTTCAGCCTGGGTGTCTGCAACGGCTGCCAGCTGATGGCGCTGCTGGGCTGGGTGGGGGGCGAGAGCCCCACGAGCGATCCCCCGGGTGAGTGGGGCTGGGGGGAGGGGCCTGTCGGTGGGCTGGAGGGTTTGGGGAGGTGTCTGGGTGGGGGAGTGTCACGGAGTCCCTGGGCGATGCTCTGGAACTGCTCCCCATGAAGCCAGTCAGGACTCTGGGGTAGTCGCCTTTCTGTGAGCAGACTGTCTTCAGGACACACAGCTCACACAGCTTCCACCTTCCTGGGTCTGACCTCGGAGCATTCAGCATCCTCTGCCCCTCCGTGCGCTTCCCCCAGCGAGTCCGCTCAGGCGGGGCTCCTGGGGAAGCCAGAGGGTCCTGCACCCCAACTTCGCAGTCAGACGTGACTCTCACCCAGCCAGTAAAACAGAAGGTTTATTAGATGACAGGAACATGGTCTAAAACAGAGCTTGCAGGTGCAGAGAACGGGACCCCTCAGCTGGGTCCATTTTGGGGGGCAGTGAGCCAGACAACCACGTCTGCACTTCACTCCATGTCCCAGCCAGCCCCAAACTGAAACCCCCTCCAGCCCCTCCTCCTCTGGGCTTTGTTCCTTTCCCGGGCCAGGAGGTCACCTGATTCCTTTGTTCTCCAACCCTTCAGCTCTCACCTTGCAGGGGGGGAAGGGCCCAGGCCATCAGTTGCCAGGAAACAGGGTGTCGCCCATTCTCTGTGTCCAGACCCCTTCACACACCTGCCCTCTAGGGCTCTGCAATGATCATACACCCTTACTCCACCCCCTAGATACTTAAGAACTGCATAGGGGAAACTGAGGCACCCCCACACTATTCAGAGGAAACATTAAGAACAGTCCCACTTCGTCACAGGGAGTCTAGGGCAGGGCTCACTCAGCCTGTCTGTCCGCAGGTGGGGCCGTCCGTCCCGGGGTGCTGCTGGCCCCCAACGATTCGGGCCGGTTCGAGTCGCGTTTCGTGGCGCTGGCCGTCGAGCAGAGCCCAGCGGTGATGCTGCGGGGCATGGCTGGCTCCACCCTGGGAATCTGGGTGGCTCACGGAGAAGGTAACAGCTCTGGGGGGCTGCTCGCTCCGTCCCGTATACACAGCTCCACGCCCCACCCCAGCGCTGGGTGAGGGGTCCCTGTATAACCAGCCTCTGCGTCCTACCCCAGAGGAGTGGCTGGGGGGTCCTTCCCTAATATGGTGGGAGGGGTCCTTGCCCTGGACTCCCCCCCCGTCGGGTGTGTCTCTCCGTCGAGCCATGGTCCTGTGTGTGTTGCTCTCGAGGTGTCCGTGCGCCTGAGACGGGAAGGCTTTTCCCCAGCAGGCTCCGCTGGGCCGTACCTGCCCCCTTCTCCCCCTCAAGCTGCTCCCCAAGAGCGTGGAGCATGGTGCGGCCCGACCATCTCTCCGGTTCCTTTGCAGCACCCGTGGTCGGAGACGGGTCCTCCAGCCGACGTGGTGGGGGTGGGGGTGGGGGAGGGTAAATTGTTCGTGCTTAACCGTCAGTGGCCGAGCATTGGGGTCCCCTTCAGCAAACGGGGGGCACCTCGAGAGAGGTGCCTCTGGATTGGACTCTGGTGCGACCATTGCTGGGATCCTGGCATCCAGTTCTGGTGCCCTCAGCTCAAGAAGGCCTGAGTCGATTGCAGAGGGGTCAGCGAGGAGCCAGCGGGGTTGCAGGCCTCCAGGTAGCATCGAGCACTGAAGTTAAAGCATCGTCCATCCTGGTTAGCCCAGAGCCCAGCCAGGCTGTGGTGAACCCCTGGGCTCAAGCTCCGTCTGTCTCTCTGTCTGGCTCCAGCTGAGAGCCCCAACTCCTTCCAGCCCCCGACTCTTATTTCCCCACCCCCAACCTGTCCCGTCCTTTGTTCTCCGGCTGGGGAAATGCTGTGTAGCCTCCCCGAGGAGAGGTGGAGGGGTGCATCGCCCTCTGGGTTGTTGGTAGCTTGGTGTCACTGTCCAGGCCATTGTATTTGCCTTCATCTTCTGAGATGCTCCATTGATACAGGGGCTAAGGCTCCTGCAGCTCGGTGACACCCCCACCTATGTTCCTCAGCCGGTCCCAAGAGCAAACAGCCCTTTCCCACCCCACTGGGTCACAAAGCAGCAAACAGGGGAAACTGAGGCACACAGTGGCTTCCAAAAGATTGCCAAATATTCCAGCTTCGGCACACCTGCCTTCTAGCCAAAGCCACGTGCCACCAGAGAGCTCCACTCTCTGGATGTCTGATGAGCCTTAGTGTCCCCTCTGCAGAGAACGAGACGTAGGAGAGGGGAAGCGAGCTCCTCGTAGAGACAGGAATTTCAGGCTGCGACCTGCCTGCTCCACCCGTCCCTGGACGGTTATGGCAGGTCGGCTCCGGGGTGTCTCTCTTTTGGAGTCTGGTTCCCTGGCTCGTACAGTAGCTGGAGCTCTTGGAGAGGGCGATTCCTGAGTGTGTCCCCCCCCGCTCTCCTTCCCCGCCCCCGCGGGTCCTTCCCCCAGAGGGTGTTTTGTTTGCCAAGGAGAAGGAACTGGAGAGCTCTGTGCTCAGGGCCTCGGTCCGGTGCAGGAGGAGAAGGGCGCAGGCGCTGGCCACAGCTAAGGAAAATCCCCCCGCCTCAGCACGTGAAGGGCCTGCCCAGCTCAAGTGGAGCACGTCGGGGTCCGCACAACCGGGAGAACCCCCGTTGCTGTACAGGGCAAGCAACTGGGCTCCCCACTCCCTGCCCTGCTGGCCATCGTGACAGTGAGAGAATGTGCGGGGGGGCTTTATCTGTCTCCCTCCCACGCCCTCCCCAGCTCGCATGCGGTTTCACACTCCCGAGGCAACATCGGGGTATGGAGGCGGTGGGCCTGTTGTGGGGGGGTGTCCCGCTGGGGCTCTCTGCCCATCTCACCCCTTCTTTTCTCCTGCCCCAGGTCGGATGCGGTTCCGCTCACCCGAGGTGCTGGCTGCAGTGACATCGGGGGGCTTGGCCCCGCTGCGCTACGTGGATGACCAGGGCCAGCCCACCCAGGAGTACCCCCTGAACCCCAACGGCTCCCCGCTGGGCATCGCCGGGCTCTGCTCGCCCGACGGGCGCCATTTGGCCATGATGCCCCACCCTGAGCGCTGCATCCTGCCCTGGCAGTGGGCCTGGATGCCTCCCGACTGGCGCCGCACCATGAAGGTCTCGCCCTGGCTGCGCATGTTCCAGAACGCCTGCGAGTGGTGCCTGGAGCACCCCGAGTGGGAGTTCTGACTGCGGAGCCCCTCGCCAGCCGGTCTCGTATCCCAAGGTTTGTCCCCGGGCCGGGACCGGCACAAAACCCGCCCTGGTTTTATCCGGTGTCGACTGGGGAGGCGGGGCTATTTCAGGAGCACATGGCCCCGCCCCCTCCGCCGTGACCTCCTACGCACCGTGCATATGAGGTCATGCTGGTGGGGGCTGGACGATGCGCTCTTAAAAATGCCCCCTCCTGCAGTGTGACTGTCTGTGCACCGGGCATGTGGGGTGAGGTCATGTTAGAGGGGGCGGGGTTTGTGTGAGAGAGTTTGAATGGGGGCGGGGTTACATGAGAGGAGGCGGGTCCACACTGTTCCCAGAAGGTCCTTAGCCCTGATCCCTACAGGGCCAGCCACCCCCAGCCTGGAGACCTGTCAGCAGTTCCCCTTCCTGGCCACTGGGGACAGACTTGAGGAGGAACAAAAGCAGGGGTGTGAGGGGTTCAGTGGGGAATAAAGTTGGGGGGGGGGTTGTGGGAGAGGCAGGTTTGGAGAGAACCTGGGGAGGGGTTCATTGGGGGAATTGAGCTGGGCGGCTGGGGGTGAGGACAGGCCCAAGAGGAAGTTGGTGGGGTTTAGTGGTGGGCCTGGTGAGTGGGGAGCGGCTGTCTGAGCAGCCCCTGCTTGCTGGTTAATGGGTCTGGGGGGCTGGAGCCCAGAGGAGAGGGTGGACCTACGCTCCCACCAGACCCGGGGAACAGGGTGTGGGAACCCCCTCGAAGGGGCCACGAATGTCTGAAAGGCCTGGGGGAGACTGGGGGGTGAGGAAGAGTGTGACTCAGAGGGGACGGCTGATGGGGCAGAGTTGCAGGGGGCAGTGGAGGACAGCTAATGCCGTTGCTGTAGATCGGGGCTTCTCAAACTGGGGGTCGCGAGGTCATTATGTGGGTGGCTGCGAGCTCTCAACCTCCACCCCAAACCCGCTTGCCTCCAGTATTTATATTGTTGTTAAATATGTTAAAAACTGTTTAATGTTTGTTTGGGGGGGCACTCGAGGTTGCTGTGTGAACAGGGTCGCCAGTAAACCCGTCCAAGCCCCACTGCTGTGGATGGTGGTTCATTCCTCCCCGTGACAATCCAGCCAGGCCCTTTTGCTGTCCCCAGCACCTCAGTGATGCAATCGTGTGTGGCGGGGTGTCAGGTCTTCCCTGGCGCACCGGGGTACTTCCTTTCTTTCCCCACCCTGGAATGAACTCCGCCACCCTCCCTCCCCAGCCTGCCATGAGCTCGCAGCCGCATCCCGAGGGGAGCAAACCCCGGCTCGGACAAGAGACACAGAGATGCTGCTGCTCGTCAATTTGTGGAAAGGAAAAACTGGTTTTTCAACTGGACTTTGGCTCCGAGGAAGGGAGAGTGGAAAAGCCCAGAGCTGTCTTTGGGCTGAGGCTGGGTCTCCTCGGTGGTGGGACTGGCCAGCTGGAGACGATCCCAGCCCAGGGCCCAAGGGGGAGGTTGGAATTTCTCACCCCACCCCTGCTCCCTGGAGCCCCGCAGGGAAGCGGGAGGAGGTGGGGCAGGCAGATGGGGTGTTCGGAAGGGTTGGGCCGAGGGTTTAGGTAGCACAGGCTGGAGGACATATCAACCCTGGTGTCCGTATCCTCCGAGATCTGCCCAGCGGGGTCTCGATCTCGCTGTGAGTCTGCAGCGCCTGGAACCGAGCTGGGGCCTGCGAGGAGTGGCGGGGGAGTTTGAATCCCCTGCTCTGGGCAGGGATTGGTTGGATGAAAGCCTTCTGCTGGGCTCTTTCCAGTTCTGTGTGATTTATCTCCTGGTCCTATTTCCATCTGCACTCCCGTTGCCAGCCCCAGCTGCCGGCCTCAGCTCTCCCCCGTAGCAATCACGGAGCTGCAGCTCTCACCGAAACTGTCCTCTGCAGACGCCTGCCGCCAGGGTTTTTCTCCTTAGCTGGGGGGAGATTCATGTGACTGTTTGGGTAACAATATTCAAGGAAGTATTTGTTCATTAGCTGGCAGCAGCTCGGCCTTAAGTGGAGGCCAGTTTGTGTGTGTCACTCTTAACTTGTGGTCCCATCAAAGGGATCCTTCCACGCTCCCCCCAGCAGCCCCCAAAGCCATGTAACAGGCTGACCTGTCCTCCACTTCCAGCATCGCACTGAGCCGGGCTTCCAGCCCTCCCTCGGAGAGCGGGGCTCAGCCTTTGGGGTTGGAGCCATCGGCCCCCACCCGTCGCTTTGCTGTGGCTTTGTGGGTTTCCGTTTTGTGGGGCAGCAGCATGGCCTGGTTGTTGGGCAGGACCCCTTGCCCGGCCGCCTGTTGAGCTCTTTGTCATTGCGAGTGGCTGGGGGGGTAATCGGGGGTTTCTTGTCCCGGGCCGCGTTGCCAGACAGCTGGAGGATTTCAGCCGTGGGCTGGTGCCCGCAGCCCGAGTGAGGCTTGCCCTGAGCCTGCTGCTTGCCGTCAGCCACTAGCCATGCATTTCCCCCATTTGCCTGGGGGCACCCAGCTCCCCTGCCTCGGTTCCTGTTTCTGCCTGGCAGCGAGATGGGGAGGGGCTTGCACAGGGGAGGGGACGGGCGTTTGCCTCACCCCAGAGTAATTTGCAGGTTCCTGGGCCCAAGCAGCAACCCCACGGCTGGGCCTGCCCCGCACATACCCTACGCGCCAATTGTGCGCC